GATGGTCAGGTCATTCAACTTCCGGAAATCTACTACTATGCGTGATTTCGGTATTCCAGATGCGTCGGTTTTTTTGGGCACTACTAAAATCGGTGCATTCCATGCACTAGTGCTGGGACGTATAATTCCATCCGCCAGCATCTTATCTACCTGCCGGTTCACTTCCGCCCGGTGCTTTTCCGGTAAGCGGTAAGGCCGGATGTTGACTGGCGCGCTATCTACGCGTGTATTTATTTCGTGCTGTACTGCGGTAGTACAGCTTAATGCATCGCCATCTAAATGGAATACGTCACTGTAATCATCGCATATTGATAATAACGCTTTCTTTTCCTCTTCGTTGAGGTGGCCTACGCGTAATTGCTTACGTAAGCGTTCCGCGCGCGGCTCCGGGAGCTCGGCGTTCGCGTTATCTGCTTCGCGTAACGTGAGCAAGTTCCCCTCTCGGCCCGCCGGCACCGTTTCAATGGTGACAATCGGCGTATGTATTTTCACGGCCTTTTCGGTCATGTTTATTATACTTACAGGACATGTATAGTCTTCGGGAATGACCAGGCAGTTTCCAATGAATACTCCGGGCTCCACTTCCTCTGATTTAATCATGCCTATCTGGTTAAGATTGGTAGCAGCTTTTATTATAGTTTCGCTGCGCGGAGTCAATGTTATCGGACGGTAGGGATGTAACTTGAATGTTTTATTACCTATCCGCACCATTTTTCGACCGTGGTCACACTTAGCACGTTGTCGTTGTAAAAAGTCAATTCCCAGTATTCCCTCATAGTCTATAGGGAAATCGTCTGGGACAACGTACATTGTGTGCCGAATCTCTTGGCTTCCGACTAGCACGGTTGCTCTAAATTTTCCGATCGTATGTTTCTTATGACCGGTCACTCCGGTAAGGATCATTTTTTCCTTTTTATTTTGGTGCCCTTTTCCAAGCTTCCAACTTTCACCAAGGTTACGGTTGCTCCGGAATCTAATAAGAAATTAAGTTTTCCTTTTTTCATCTCTCGTATTGGCAAGGTGATGAGATCTAACCCGGTGCTCGGTCGTGGCTTAGTCAGCACTTGTGTAATTTGATGCGCCCGGTTGGCGCTTGCCGTGTTCTTTCTCACGTTTTCCTCATCTTCACTTTCGGTGAATAGAGATTCTTCGTCTCCGCTCGAATTTCGTTCGGCTGTTTTAACAGTAGTGTTTACCCGTTTTTTTCTTCTATTATTATCATGCACCGGAGGGCGCGTCTCTTCCCTTCTAGGCCTTCCATTTTGCGACCAACATTCCTGTCGTAAATGCCCAGGTTTTTTGCAGTACGTGCAATATTTCTCTAAGCTATTTACTTCCGTTGGTTTCTTATACGGTTTCGGCAAGGATGGGAACCGCTGGTAAAAGCGGCTAGATCGGCACTCGTGTCCGGCATGTCCCGCTTTTCCGCATTTATCGCATCGCGTTTTTTCGCTTTGATACTTAAAATTTTTATTTTCGTATGGCTTAGCAAGACCTCGTTTACTATCCCTAGCCTTTTCCTCCGCGCTTGCTCCGTCTATTGCTTCCCGCAAAGTACGGAAACGCTGCGAGCGCACTATCACCTCGATATCTTCTCTCAGACCGAGTTGAAAGTTCTCTAATGCCAGTTCCTGTGTGTGCTCGTATATTAAATGTTGTTGTTCGAGAGTGTGGTTTTTTCCTTCTTCCATGCTCTCATACAGATCCATGGCGAGATCCTTTACCCGGCGCCCAAAATCTTTTGCGCTTTCCCCCGGCTTTTGTCTGAGCGCGTTGAATTCGCGCTGTATATTAGTTACGCTTCGTTGACACAGATATGTGGTTTCCATGTCGCGCTTAAATTGTTCGAAACTGCGTATGCTACGCGTACGGAAGTCTTTTCGGACTTCGCCTTTTAGTTTGGTGCAGATAATTGCCTCTAAGAACGAGTTTTCGTCCGCCGGATGAATATTCTTCATCACGTACGACGCGGCTTCTAAAAATTCGTAAACGCGATCCCGCGAGCTGCCGTCAATTTCCGGTACTACTTTTCGCGCCTCCATCAGGCTCATGTAGCCGTGGCTCCGCGGTGGTTGGTTGCGGATGTCGTCCTGGCTTCTTGACACGTCTAACGGGAGACTACTACGGTTCTGCCCCGTTTGATTATTGGTGTCGTTTTGAGCTCCTGATGTGTCTAAAAGAGATGTTGCGAAGCTATTGTCGTTTATTTCTCGACGCCCGCCGCGGTACTCTTCGCGTTGTCTCTTCGAAAGTTCCGTTATTTGCGCCTGCATTTCCCGCATTCCTTGCATTATTACTGCCATTGGGTCGGGATTGTTACTCCGATGCCCATGTAAATTGACAATGTCGTCGTAGTTGTTTAACTCGTTTATCTCGTCACTGAAGGTGACGCGGCGAGTTGCCTGGGCATTATTTGAATCCAGCTGTTGCTGTGATCCTTCTTCCACCCCCGCGATGGAGTTCTCCTGATTCGTCGGGGTCCGCGGTGAACGAGGTGGAGGACTACGTTGCACGGACATTGCCGGTGTAGTTACGTTATCGTCGTGTATATTGTGCGAAAACGCAAGCTTACGCCTTTGTCTCGTCTGTCCGTTCGACGCGGTGTCACGTTCGCTTTCGGTGTTTAGGTCGAGTAAGCTAAAGTCGTCTGTGGCGATTGGAAATTCGCGTTCGCGAACTACGTGTACGGGTGAGCCTGTTTCGCTTTCGGTTGGAAAGTTTAAAATTCTACGCACGCTATCCCGGATGTCCGGTAACGCTCTCGCGACTCGGTTTAATTCGGGTACGGTGCTAATGAATTTTACGCGATTTCGAAACGGCCACGTCCGCTCTGGTGACACGCGACGTTGTTGATGTCTATCGCTTGACATTCGCTAATAAAATTTTCGGACTTACAATACGGCGCTCGCTCGCATGTTGGCTCGCTACGTTGTTCGGCGGTTGTTATCGGCGCTTGGCTCAGGTTACGGCAGCGGCGGTGACCCTCAGCACTGCGATGCGGCGACGGTGTTGTCGGTGGTCAGGTCCGCGGCACTGTCACAGCTGCAGCGGCGCCGTTAGACTACTCCCGTAGTAGGCAGTTGCTCCTCTGGTTTAGGCAGTTGGCCCTCAGGATCACTCCTCCGAATTTTGTTTAGATGACGCGGGAGTTCGTGCAATTCCTTGAATTGCGCGTCTTTATTTTCCGTCCGTTCTTCTCGCCTTAGCAATGCCGGCGTTTTGTGTGCCACGGCTTGCGTTTACTTGGCTGGTACGGCGGGTCAGCGTCGATCTGCGTCGCGCTGACTGTTTCTTGTCTACGGTTGTGCCGGACAAGATTTATTTATCTGTATTTGACTTACAGAGATTTTTTTTTTTTTTTTTCACTGTCGGCTTCGTGAGTCGTCTCCCTGGGATCGCTTCTTGCGTATCCCTGAATCTCTTA